CCTCAGCCAGGGTCAACCCACCACAGTCTGGATGGGGGAAGAATTCTTGTGATAAAGACACAGCCAACTGCTAGGAGTCATGGACAAGTCGTGTAGCAACTTAATGGATTTTTTTCATGTTATACTTAATGCCTAGTCTGTACAGTTTGATGTTTTGGGGTGGTTTTGGAGGGGGTAACCTCTGGGATATTTTTCTTAGGTAGAACATGATTTAGGAAAGCGCAACCACATTCTTAAATGATGAGAGCGCACGTGTGAAGTGAACAATGTGCTGACATACCTATCAGAAGAAGGGCCGGTCGTCTTGTAGAAAGAGACCATTTTCTTTTTATCCTCTCTCTCTCAAAACTGGTCCAGGTCTTGATCTGTATGGGCTCTGTGGGGTCGGGCAGGGAGGCACAGTGGAGAAAGCACTAAAGTGGCACTCAGACAACCTGTGTGGCTTCTCTCAGCTTTGTTACTGGCCTTCTGACTGGTATTGGGCAAGTCGTTTCAATCCCTCAGCCTCAGTTTTCATCTGTAGCATATGGGAGTACCAATGCTGACCACCTCTGTAAGGAGTTTGGATGCTTCATCCCCAGGGAAGGTTGATTCTGGTCTCCCTTGTAGACAACAGCGGAAGAAAGACGTTTTGACTCCTCGGGTCTCTGCAGAAGAAGGTTTATTCTTCAGCTGCGGCCAGTGAAGAGCCTTTGGTTGTGAAGAATAAAGAGAAAGTGATTTCCAATTCCAAAAACATATTTTTGAAATGTTTCCAATTTATAAGATTTCTGCAAACTTTTAAGTACATGAGAAATTTGAAGAACCTGATTAATTACAGGATGTTCTGACGAATGTTTATAAAGTCATTTTGTGCCTGAAGAATAGGTGTGAAACTGTGTGTGAAAGCACTGGTAATTTTGGAGAGGAGACAATGCATGGGGCTTTCTGCTTTGAATGTGGAACTGTGTGCACTGCTTGCATTATACATGTTATTATATATGAATCTTGTAAATACACTGATGAGAGTGATGGGAAGCTGCTTCATTATTTTGGAGGCTCACTCAAAATATTTTATTTCTTTCAGAGACTTGAAGATAGAAAATCTGTTGCTAGATGAAGACAACAATATCAAGCTTATTGGTATGAAACTAGTTTGGCAATTCCAGTAATTGAAATTGGTGGTTTTATAAAGAGTTTTTGAGACTTCATAATCCTCTATGTGACAACTGCTAATGTTGCTTCAGAGAGGAGCTGAGAGAGTATAGATAGCAATCAAGCTGTTCCTGACAGCATCTTATGAAAAAAATGTTCCAAATAATTCAGCTTTAACTGGGTATGGGAATAATCCTGCATCTTTTAATCAGCAGCTTTCATATTCAAATCAAGAACTTTGAAAAGAATTAAAGATTTGACACCACAGCGTCAACTTATTTTATTATCTTGATCATTTCATATTTACTAAGGGTTGGATTCTGCCCCCATATGCACATGCTTCCACTGAAGTCAGTGGGAGTTGCACGCATTTTTAGCAGCTGGCAAAATTTGGTCCTGTATTTATATTCATTACATTTGCTCCCAGCACCCAATACAAAATTGGTTTGGAGGGCTGTTAAAAAAATAAAAAAGATCAATGACAGAGTCTTGATTGTATTCGGGTATCAGTTGCACGCAGCGCTCGATTCATTCAAGTTGTGCAGACATTTTAGATTAATCATCGGTGGGTATAGTCTCTCACTGCCTTTGCGTAACTCCCACTAATGTTAATGTGGGCATTGAAAAGAAAATATTCCCTTCATAAAATAAACCCCAAACATCTGTTTATATTTATCTCCATGCCTACACTTCTGCCAAAGCAGTGTCTGTGGTTGCAGACTTAAAAACTTGACTGACTTTCTTCAAAAGGTTTCATGATCTGAAAAGTGATGAAAAACACTTAACATTCAGGTCAAATGGACAGTCACTGTAACGTGTAAAGCACATGCATCTCCAAACAAGCCAGAGGAGGATGGTTAACGAAATCTGAAATATACTCAAAATTTAACTTAGGGAATTCAGTCTTTGGAAATATTACCATGACTTTTACTCTTTACTCCGTAGCGAATCAACCGACTCTGGGAAGATAATAGCAAAAGAGAACTCTGCATTACCTCAGCTACGGGTCAAGAGTATACTGATATGTTACCATGAATCATTCATCAGTAATGATGGATACCACCCATTATCTTGATTTAGCAGATAACTGAGACCAGATGGTTTGCAACAGTGCTATATGAACATCTGATAGATTTAAAAAATTCTTATAACTTTCCCGTTATTTGGTGTTTGATTACACAACAGTATGTGAACTTGACATCCAAACCCAGACCTAATCAGATGATATGTGTACCATTAAAACTCCCATGCCAAAAAATTACTTCAGAACTGTTCCTGCAGTTTCATTTGCTTCGGTTGCATAGAAAGGTCTCCTTGCAGTGGGTGGTGTGGGAAGAATAGAGAAAAGAGACAATTCGATCTTCTGCAGCCTTGCTACCGTTGAAATAAATTGTCCTCAGGTCTGCAGCCTGATGTTTTAAGCAAAGCAGATTGTACACAGTGCGTATTTTAAAACAAAGCAATTAAATCCCACCGTCCAGCTGGGTATGTTACAGACAAATAAAGGTTGTTTTATTAGTAATAATTTTGCTGCAAGTAAAACCAGATTTAGTATCAGAGTCAGCTCGTGCCATATCTCGCTAGTGACACTGGTGATCTCTGGTTGTTCACCCTGAAGAAGCAGTGCCTCCATTCTTCATGCTCTGTCTGCTGCGCTTGCAGGGAAAGCTGGAGAGGGGGATGCAGAAACTGGCCTCAGGTTCCTGGGCAACCTCTCCTCACGAACACCTCTTTTCCCGGTGGTAGCAGAAGTAGTGCTTGAGCTGCCACATAGCTTTCCGTTGCCACCAGGCCTTCCCAGGACAAGGGAAGTTTTTCAGCACCTGTCTGTGACTGGTGGATAGACCAGATAATCTATAGACCAAACAATTTACTCCTCTTCTTCCTCCCTTCCTATTCCTTCACTCAGCTCATTCAGCACTTAGTGCAATATTTTAGGTAGTCTGTCTTTGTAGGAACATGATGGATCGGTTGTGTCATCACAGGAAGGTTCTCGAGGATTAAAGAGCATGGTTTGAGAAATTATGTGTTGCTTTTCATGCTTGGGAGAAGAAACTTTGACCTATAAAACCAGATCACATTAACTGTGGTGTTAACATTGAGGTGGGAGCTTGGTCTTCATGTCTTGCGCAGCAGCAAACACACTAGTATCTAATAAAAAATGTTGCTCTAGTGATAACTGTGAAATGAAAAAAACCAACCAAACCCCACCATAAAGGCAAAAAAAAAAAAAAGGTGACATTACATTGAAACTCCCTACTTGTTCGTGCATTTCAGTGAGAACTGAATCCCTTGAGTCCCTTCACCCAGCTGCTTAATGACACCTTGCTTCTGTTACTCTTTTTAGCTATGTGATAAGGTGGCTTATAATATGTTCTTAGATAGTATTATTAGAGAAATTCTCTTCGCTAAGTGGACTTATTCTTAGCTGCCTGTTAAGTCTCAAATCTAAGAACATCAGGATTGGAAATGCTGGAAATAATTCACTTCTCTTCGTCTACCAGCCTGTGGTGGTAGGTGTCTGATAAAGATGCTGTGAAAAGCCACTCACGGGCCACGCGAGGTTCTTGGCATCCTGCTCAAGGACCTATGGCACCAAAAGGACCCTGCCAGCTCTGCTGAGGTCTGTGGTGGTCTGCTGGTCAGACTTGTCCACGAGCTCCTGCTTGGTGCTAAGGCTTCCGTTACTTAATAATCTTTCCATCTTCCAACTGTCACAGGTTCAGAGATGGCTATATATCCATAGCTTAATGTTGATTTCCTGGAGGCGTTAGAGTAGTAGTGTAATGCAATACTTTGATAGTATGAGCAGTGGGGGTGGTGGAATTGCCATGTCATAATATTTACTTTGGAAATCCAAGTGTGGCCTTTGATCTGAATTCTGTAATTAGCTCGGTTTATTGAAAGGAAAC